GGCCCTCCCGCACCTGCACGCCCGGCCCGCAGGGGGCGCTGCAGGGGGACCAGGGCTCCGGGATGAACCTGCAGGGAAATCAGGGGGACACACGGGTCACTCGCAGGCCCCTGGGGGAGAGGGCGGGGGACGAGCATCCTGTGGAGGGAAAAACAGCTTCATTCCCACGACAGCCAATCTGGTCTGAATGCTCTAGGTTTTTAAAATATATATATATTTTGCCCTGGCCGGTGTGGCTCAGTGGTTAGAGCGTCAGCCTGCGGACTGAGGGGTCCAGGGTTCGATTCCGGTCAAGGGCACATGCCTGGGTTGTGGGCTCCATTCCCAATAGGGGGTGTGCAGAGGGCAGCCAATTGGTGATTCTCTCTCATCATTGATGTTTCTATCTCTCCCTGTCCCTTCCTCTCGGAAATCAATTAAAAAATGTTAAAAAATGTATTATTTTTTTATTTATTTCAGAAACCACAGGGACTCCAGGGAGGAGCTTTTAAAACAGCGGTTCTCAACCTGTGGGTCGCGACCCCTTTGGGGGTCGAACGACCCTTTCACAGGGGTCGCCTAAGACCATTGGAAAACACATCTATAATTACATATTGTTTTTGTGATTCATCACTTTGCTTTCATTATGTTCAATGTGTAACAATGAAAATACATCCTGCATATCAGATATTTACATGACGATTCATCACAGTAGCAACATTACAGTGATGAAGTAGCCACGAAAATAATGTTATGGTTGGGGGTCCCCACAGCATGAGGAACTGTATTAAAGGGTCGCGGCGTTAGGAAGGTTGAGAACCGCTGATCTAGATGTAGGAGCGACGCCCAGTTTCATAATCGAAACAGAATCCCGGGTCTGCTTTGCGTTAAACGACCTTGCTCTCCTGTGAGCTTCTCACAGACGCTGCCAAAGCAGGGCCGGCGGATTGAGCAACAGAGAGGCGTGCCAGCCAGCTCAGGCCCTCGGGGGTCTGAGGAGCCAGGGCCCTGGGGTGTGGAATAGCTGGACTCCGGTGAGGACAAAAATTACGTAGATCATGTTCACTGGCCGGGCCCTGGTGACTCCCTTAAAAGGTCCTCCACTGCCCGGCCGGCGTGGCCCAGTGGTTGAGCATCGACCTAGGAACCAGGAGGTCAGGGTTCGATTCCGGGTCAGGGCACAGGCCCGGGTTGCGGGCTCCATCCCCAGAGTGGGGCGTGCAGGAGGCAGCCGGTCCACGATTCTCTCTCATCATGGATGTTTCTCTCTCTCTCCCTCTCCCTTCCTCCCTGATGTCAGTAAAGATAAAAAGTTCCTCTACTCACGTCGGTTCTTCCGTCGCCACCCTGGTCTGCTCCAGCTCCCGGGCTTGCTTCAGCCAGGGCAGCTTTGCCTCCACCGGGCTCTTTTCTAAGGAAAGAAGAACAGAAGCAACAAGCGTAACTGTTACCATGAAGCGCGAAGGAGCTGGATGCCGCCGTTCCCGCTGAAGATTTCATCAGTAAAGGGGTTGTGCTTCGCCCGGCCGGCGTGGCTCAGTGGTTGAGACCTAGGAACCAGGAGGTCAGGGTTCGATTCCCGGTCAGGGCACAGGCCCGGGTTGTGGGCTTGATCCCCAGTGTGGGGTGTGCAGGAGGTAGCCGATCCGTGATTCTCTCTCATCATTGATGTTTCTCTCTCTCCCTTCCTCTCTGAAATCGAGAAAAATACATTAAAAAAAAAAAGAATGTTAGTATAATGAAACGTAAATGCTGCAATATTAGAACGAGAGCTGGGAAACACCATTCAATGTAACTTTAAAACGCAAACCCACTGTGCTAGCCGGTGTGGCTCAATGGATAGAGCATCGGCCTGCGGACTGAAGGGTCCCAGGCTCGATTCCGGCCAAGGGCACGTACCTTGGTTGCAGGCTGGATCCCTGGCCCTGGTCATGGCACATGTAGGAGGCAACCCATCGACGTGTCTCTCTCATATTGATGTTTCTCTCTCTCTCTCTCTCTCTCTCTCTCTCTCTC